AGTGTGTTGATGCTGCTCTATTACGGGTGGCATCTTCCATTCTTCACTGTCAATCAAATACTCAAGGTCAACACAATCAGATACTTCCAGAGTTTCCAAGACAGCTAAGCCATCTCTATCTGCCAACTGGTAAGGAAAAATAGTCCTTAGCCCCTCAAAGGACGATAGTTTAAGATACTGTGTTCTCTTCAGTAATGGCTTGACACAGCCTAGTGGAGGAATTGCGAAAAATTTCTTGGCATTGACCCAACCACAAACCTCAAGATAATTTGATTGCTTGTGATGGACAGAGCCGCGTATGGCTATTTTGAAAACCTCCAATTCAGGAAAACTGAAACCTTCAGGTATACATCCAAAATCAGGGACCTCCATTATTAAGGTGGTTAAGTGGGACAGTGATTTCAGCTCAGCTATGTGCTCTCTGGTGTATTTCATGAAAGAACTTGAGTACAGCTCTTCTAATCTGGACCACCTTGAGATGACATTTGGAGGAAATATGGCATTGAGTTTTTTTCTGCTATGATGGCAGTCTTCCAAATCAAGCAACCTTATATTTGTCAACTCCCCTATTTCCTGTGGTAGGTCTAGGAGCTTGCAATTTGCCAAGCTTAGAACCTCAAGCATTTTCATATTCCCAATAGCAGCTGGGGCAGCAATCCTGCAATTTTTCATGATTAATGTCCGAAGACTTGTTAGATAAGAAAATCCTGGTTCCAATTTCCTCGAAAAGTAAGGATCGCCTTTCGAGATAATATCACTCTGATCAAAAACTTTAAGGGCTGTCATCCCTTTAAAGACTTCATCTGGCATGGGCTGTTCAATACAGTTGCCTTGCATCAACAATATCTGGAGGTCTGAGCAGTCCCAGGAAGCAGGGTATCCATTTATCTGATTGAACATTACTGATATCCCAGTGAAATGCTTCAAAGTTTCCGCATTTGGCCACTCCATCAACTTCACCCCAGCTTTCACATAGTAAATATCAGATGCAATTGTTTTTGCTACATCACGGACGACATTGTTCATTTTGATGCATCCTGTTTCATTGCCTGCTAACAACAGACATGAATCTTTGAGATTTTTGGTGATAGAATGTGCTCGCCTCCTTGCCTCCTGTATAGTCAGAACATCTTTGAACATTTCCAGCCCAATCCCGTATCTCACTAGAACCTCTATACAGATGTTGTAATCCTCCGGAAATAAACAGCAAAGCAAGAACATTGACTTTGCTTCCCGATTTTTCAGGTGGTCATAGCTTAGCTTAAGGCACTTATACACGATTTCGTCCGTGCCCTCAATGTTTGAAGGCATTGGTTTCTGAAGTTCTAGAGCAGCTTCTTCCCATTCTTCCAGGGTTTTGTCTCTCATTGCCCTTCCCACAGTAACAAGGGCTATGGGCAAACCCCCGCATTCTCTGCAGACCTTCTTTGCCACGGAATTCAATTCGAGAGAGTCGATAACCTCACCAGCATTCATCGTAAGCAAGCCCCATGATTCATTTTCAGATAAAGCATTTAGATGGATGATCTTCGAAGTCTCGATTCCTGTGGTCATAGAATTGCATGCTAGTCTGCATCGTGTTGTGACTACAATTTTACGAACTTTACAATTCACGTTTTCGGGATCTTTATGATCATCATCCCCAAATGGAATGCCTATGGCAGCAAGATCAAGGGTGTCCCAAATATCATCCAAGATAATAAGGATCTTCTCCACATTCTTCAATCTAGCATGCAACTGACTGGCTCTTCCTTGTTCTCTTTTCTCTTCGAACTTGAAGCCCAACATATCTGCTATCTGCTGTTGGATGTTTTTCACTTCAACAGTACGTGACACTACAACCATCACAACAGCATCGAAAAGCATATCTTCTTTAGCCCTTCTTTCAATTTCTTTGACGAAAGTCTTTTTACCGACACCAGCCATTCCATATATCCCTATAAAATTGATTATATTGCCCTCCAACGCCTCCATGATTTCCATTATAGCCAATCTAGTGCTTTCAAAAATAACAAAATCTTGAGACACTATTTCTGGGGGAGCTGCAGGCATGGAAACATTATCGAACTGCCCATCTACTTTTATCTTTGCAGTTGCTGTTATTTTGTTTTCTGATTCTCTGCTTAGCCGATAGCGTGAAGCCAAATCAAGAAACCACCTATTAAACCACCTCTTCTTTTGAACGGCATCATCCTCCAAAATTTTCCTAGCCTCCAAGATGACCCCGTCAACTCTCGACATCCAGTTTCTAACCTCATTTTTTATTGTTTCACCCTTCGCTGTTGCTGCGTCAACTGATCCCTGGACATCTTTTCTCACTTCCTCCAGTATTTGAACTTGATCTTTGAGAGTCTCCATGTTGCTGTTGTAGTGAATTAAATATTCAAATTTTCGTCCGATTGGCTCAACCATGAACTCTCCAATCTTCCCAATGATGGAAATCACAATATCAACAGCCATCTCAGTATACGTATAGCGTCTGAGGTAAGATGATGAAGAAAAGTATAGTTAATGCCTGCACAATGCATGTCTCTACATATCCTTACAGCAATGGCCTAGGTACAAGTACTTATGCATCCAAAATAATGATAGCAATGACACAAATACAAATAGTAAAGATTTTGACTCGAAAATTGTTATGGATACATTGGAACAAATAGATAACCAAAGCCTATAAAAAAAAAAAAATTACCTTCAAGACGTATCAAATGACAAAAACAGTCATAATTTTAGATATTATAATTAGATCGGGCTCAAATTTTACCGAATACTTCTACAAGCTTAGTTATGTAAGGAGACAGCTGAAGACCTTTAAATTAGATCTAAAAAATGTTGTCTGTACTATTTTTATTATTTCTCTAGTTAATTTTGGTTTTTAAGTACTTTTCCAACTTAGATTTGGATTTCTTTTGTTTAAGTCAGTTTTAACCTATATATAAATTGGTGTGTTATTTTTATTATTATTAGGTTCTTGAATTACCAACTTTTTAGAAAATATAGAGTTTTCTCTTTATTTTTATGCAATTTCATACTGTAATTTCAGAGCTTCAGAAACATAATATGAAGATGATCACAACTGGAAATTGCAAAAAAAGCTCATCATCTTTCAAAGCTAACATCATATTTATCAACCTCCACTACCATAAGATGGAACTTCCTAGTAGCAAAAACGCTTGCCAGTTACAAAAAAGAATTTTAGACATGGAAATAAGAATTCATAATATTCATAACTTAGCAAAATCAAGCAAATTATGCAAATAACTACTAGATGGTGTGAATCAAGAACATACCTCTCTTTCTTTGAATAGCTTGCAATCAAAGGTGAAAGATGACTGAAACAGAAAATGCAGAAAAGAACAGTAGTAGTGAAATCACCATGTTGATCAGATGGAAGGGGAAAGTTATTCTTTTCTTGTTTGATTTGCCTTGCGCAATCTATAATACTTTTCTTCATCGAGGAAGTCGCAATATATTTCCCTTTTCCTCTAGCTATCAATTCTTTTTATTTCTTTATAGCATTTTATCAAAAAGTATCAGGATTGCTTAAAGTTTATGCTAACAGGCCCTTCAAACTATTCCTTGTCAGAAATGGTTATCGGAATGCTACTCACAGACGGTTTTGAAGGTAAGTAAAACTATTCCTTGTCAAAAACACATTAATTTTCACACTCCACAGCCTGTCAATATGGAGTGGCTTTTCCTACCCAACCAGTTGATATATTACAGCTGATGGGTTAGGAAACACGCAGAACTAGTTGGAATTTTTTGTCTGCTGAAATCTCAAGTGTTGATCGCAGTGCCAAAAATTCCCATTTCATTGATTAAAAGATACAAAGATATTACAAGAAGATATGGAAAAAAAAATGACGAAAAGTCTGGATTAGCGAGCAAAATAAGTCACCGGAAAGCAACCCGTTAAAAACAACAGAGAACCATATGTTTTATCAGATATGCTCACCATATTTATGCAGTAATGTCCTGATTGCCGATAATATAGAACAAATAGGAAAAGATAACATTAAATCATTTGAAGTATTCTATGCAGGGGTTCTGAACAGTAGAATGCGGGTCCATTGCAATCGTACCATGTGTAAAGCCAAGCAAACACATTTATGGACCAATGTGATTGGTCTATGTCTAAAAAACGTTTTGGACGTGTCAAATGACCAATCTGATAGCAAAACCCGTAATTTATTGATAGAGAAATCCATAACTTTCAATCCAACAATTCAATCATGCTCAAATTGTCTTGTTCAATGGTGGTGGCTAGGGCAGCTTCACTGGCTCACATCAAAAAAGTCTTCAAAAAATCCAAGAAGATAATGTTTGATTCAGTTTTATTATTTTCTTGTTTAATTTTCAGTCTAAATTTTGAATTTTATTTTTATATCTCCTATCTGTTTAGAAATTCTAATTCTCCTTCCATGTAAGGTCAGTTTGTTTAGAGATTATGATTTTCCTTCAATGTAAGGTCCGTTTTAAACCTTGTAAATTGTAATCCTTTCGGGAAAGACAATTAGAGAAGAAATTATTCAATAATAAAACATTATTAGAGTTCTTGTTTATGACCTTTTCAGAAATTGTCTTCCTTGATCTTTGAATCCTGATCAGACTAGGGTCGGCGGTGTTATATTCAAAGCACCAAAAGTAATGCCAGATGATATAAACGCCCTTTTCAGAAATTGTCTTCCTTGATCTTTGAATCCTGATCAGACTAGGGTCGGCTGTGTTATATTCAAAGCACCAAAAGTAATGCCAGATGATATGGACACCTTAAAATCCGAAACGCAGTACATGGCGGTCTCCTTGCAGTGAAGAAGTAGAGGAACGTAGCAGTGATGTCTTGAGAGGATGAAGCTTGGCTTTAAGAATCGAAAGAACACTGCAGTACTAGAAAAATAATAATAATAATAACATCAATCATAAGCTCGCACTCACAAGGGGTTAAATCCAATGAAAATAATAGCAGAAAATATCAGTTCAAGATGCGAAATACCATGTCACACAAGTATGAATGAAGCAATCTAAATAATTAAAACTTCTTTTATACACCGTGTTAAAGGCCATGGAAAATCATGGATTCTTAAAATTGCAGAATACAATTAGGTAAATTAGCATGATATTGATAGATGTCATGATTATGAAAAGGAAAAATGACAGGAACCTTGAGTACCCTTCTACGACTGCATTCATCAACTCCCTACTGTTAAGCATTATTTCAACACCATCCAGTTTGATCGGCTTAAGCATTGGGGTTCTCTGGATTCCACCTGAAATCACAGTAGCAGCAAAGTTCTTCACTTTGGGATAGGAAAGCCTGCAAGGTTGGGAAGTTAGAATGCTGAAATCTCTTTTAATTGAGGGAACACCAGATTATCAATGCCCCCTTCTCCTTCTTATCCTTGCAAGTCCTCTGTAACAACTCTGTGCATGTGTGATAGTTCAGTACTAGGACTTTTCCATATGTGCAGTTCTGGTAAATTACGTAGTACAACTTTTCTTAAGCGGGGAAGCATCTCATTCTCACGAACAGCATACTTTTGGGCTCTGAGGTTAGCGCTCCACATGATTTTACATCGAGTTCTTCAAGCTCATCGAAGCTTTGCAGCAAGTTGAATGAATCAAAAACATTCGACAGTTTCGGACACTTGTAAATCATCAAATATTTGAGATTCTATAAAGGCAATGACATTTCAAGAGGCAGTGCATGTCGGCATAAGCTAGCCTTCGAAGGTTTCCAAACTCTGAATTTCTAGTTTTTCCAGGTGCAACAAGCAATTTGCCCAGCTCAACGACGGGTTTCCAGTACTCCCCTCTGGAGATCTAGACCACCTCTATCTAACAATAAGTTCAAAGGAACAATTGTCACGACTCGAATCCTAACTTCATGACTGGCAACACAGAAATGGTGTTGAAAGGACACCACACCTATACTAAGCCTCAAAACAAACGTATCAAAAAAACAATTTATTCAAAATTGACACAACATTTTATAATCTTCAGAAATATTATGTTATTCAAAATTGATCAACCTAAAAGATAGTTCAAAACTCTTCGTCAATAATTAAAACAAAAACAATAATTCATAATACTCATTACATTGTCGAAATCCAAACTTAATTATAAAAGATAACAATGAAGCGTTTAAGACATCAAATCAAAACTAAAAGAAAAGCCTCACAAAATAAGCAAGGCACGCCGACTAAAACTGAAGAAGTAGGAACACTCAACAAAGTCCACTTGCTAACAGAAACTATACACTAAACATATTATCATAATGTAGTGGAATACATGTTAGAGATCAAATGACATCCGAAGGTGACCACTATATAATGATCAGTCGCCGCAGGCTGATGCCTCTCTCATCAGCTAGATATATAAAATACTATGTGCACATAGGCTAACTACCCTCCGTTAGCATGGAGTTACTGACAAGTCTTATATCAAGGTATAATAGATACTTGAAGAATCATCAAAAAAAAAAATATCATATCGAATAGGCTTTAGCTCGACAAAATGCGAGTACAAATTCAAGAATAGATGAGTACTCGAAAAATAAAGTAATATATATAAATATTCAAGAGATTAACTGATCGTACTCATCATATAATCAACATATATATATTTATTTATATTATATACATATTAAATATTATCTCAATCACTCGAAAGAATATAGATTAAAAGGAATATCAAATGAAAGACTAGAAAAACTTATTGAAAATTGTTAAGAGAACCTACAATAAATATATGAAATATACTAAAAAAAAACTCAAAGTAACATAAATAAAAGATTCTAATGCATAAAAGAAAACCAGGTTTGGTCTCCTAAGTTTAGAGACTAAAACGACAATTATCCAAAATAAGGACCAAAACGTAATTTTACCAAAACTAAACCAAACTGTAAACACATAACCATACTGAAATATCACCTATAAACCATCCTTAATTCTTTCTAGAACAAACCAGGGACCAAACTATAACTTTTATAAAGTTTAGGGGCTAAAATGTAAATTCCCAAAATCAAGGGACCAAACTAAAAATATTTCAAATCAATTATCAAATTGAGATTCATCATCCTTAATCTCATAATTACACTATCTAGAATCATAAAATACATTTAGGGGTCAAATTATAATTTTTCAAAGTTTAGGGACTAAACTGTGATTTTCATAAATCAATGACCAAAATAAAATTTGATCATCTTCAACCTCAAGACTATTCTGTCCAGATTTTCTAGTAAGGTAAAAATAAATTTCTTAACCTGTAAAAATTAATTTAAACAAATCAACTCATAAATCCTTATTTTTAACAAAATACTAATTAATCATCTAACATTAAACTCTTGATAATCATAAATCAATTTTAACAACATAAATTTTTAATCCTTGTAAACCATAATTTCTTTCTCTCTCTTAATCCTTCCATGAACAAATTATAATTAAAAATAATAGGAGAGAGAATCACTTACTATTTTTATTTTTTAAAATTCAAAATTTAAGATAAAAAACTAAAATTCTTAGTTTGATGAAAAAAGAATCACGGTGGCTACAAGAATTAAAAGAAAAAAAACAATTTTCTTATGACTCTTTTTTAAATACTTAGATTGAATTTGCAGTGAATTAATCTTAGCTTGGAACCAAAAATTTGGATTTAGATGTTACAATAATCCTTAAGCCCTTGAATGATATAAAAGATGCAACATCCGTTCTCTTCAGCTAGGGCTTCAAATAAGCTAGCGAGGGAATTGCGAGCATATTTTTTCACCGTTCACATAATTTGTTCCTCCAAAAAAATAAACCGTACATATATTTGAAACATTAATATAAATCATATACGAGCTCTCATCTAACAAAAAAAAAATTTCTTAGACGGTTCTTTAACTGTACCAGAGCCTTAGTGACCATCCACTCTCTCGTTCTCTTATGATTAAAATTGATGGGCAAGCAAAATATGCTAAACCCAAGACCCAACTGAAGACTAGCCGGGGAGAAGAAGGGGTAGCTCAGCCGAAGCTCCCAGCCACAGGCTAGACGGGGACAAGAAGGGGTAGCCCAGCAAAAGCCCCTTACCCTAGCCTAACCCAAGGCCACTCTAGCCTGTTGTAGCCCAGCCACTTCTCTCCCATGCACTTGAATTCTTATGAAAACATGTGCATCCTTTTCCCTCTTGTAGGCGCCGCTCTAGCCTGCTGTGGGCGCTGTCTTACCCCCTCGATATGCATATCATTATTTGCGCATAGTAAGATAATTGTGCTGTGAAAAGTCATTCTTTGAAGTAGGTTTGTAGCCTCTATCATTGCCATGCTTTCGCAACCATATCCCCTTACTATCAAAAGTGTATCAATTTTGAGGATCACCAGGTCAAAAGCAAACAATTTGGAACCTTACTATCAAAAGTCTATCAATTTTGAGGATCACCAGGTCAAAAGCATACAACTTGGAACCTAAATAACAATCAAAAACACATATTCCCCCTTCTCTTTGTTATATATTTTTTTCCCTACTTTAATTTACTAAATTAGATATGAATGGTCTCGTATTCCAACAGATCGTCAACCTCAAGCCTAGCATAAAGCCTAAAAAAATAAAGTCTTTAAGGCTATATGCAACAAACAAAACAAAAGAACTCAAATCCAACCTTCAGTTTTTACAACTCTATCAAAAATTAACTTCACTTTTTTTTTCTAGGTTCAGATGATTTTTTTACACTGCCCGACAAAAAACATGTAGCCTTGGAGTATTCATTCTAAATTTGCTTGCTTACATTTTGAAAGCAGTTACTAGACGGTACAGAGATTTCAAGTAAACTATGTTTTATATAGACCATTTGAAGATATCCAGTAAGGTGAACATGAAAGAATAAAAGCTATAGTATTCTATATATAATGCGAAAATAAAATGGTAGGATCGATTTGCGTAGTGTTATCATCAATAATATCTTATGATGAATTACTATAGAAAATATGTATAACTCCCTTCTTCTCTCTGACATCTATTTTAAAAAAAATATATATAGAATAGATTAGTGGATCAATAAGATAATCATTATTGATAATCATTCAAATTAAAATGTAAATTCAAATTAAACGCAAACAAAACCTGGATATGGCATTCAGTGGAAACGACTATTCTTTTGCCACTCACTTTGGATGTTTCTTCCACATTCTCCGCAAGCCTCCTCTGCCACGGGTCTCAACGTGGGAGACTCGATGAGGTCACCGGCAATCGTTTTGATCAGCAAGTCCCACTACTCGTGTTCAAATAGGACATCAAGTGGGATGATCGGTCTTTGAAATCTCACCTCTGATAACCATGGCTTTGTCATGTTGTGAGGCTACAGTTTAGTCAAAACATCATCCAAATTAATAAGGATTTTATCCACATTATTTCGTCAATCAAGCATGCAACCGACCTGCTCTTCCTTGTTCACTGGCCTCTTGAGTTTGAAGCACAGCACGCCTGCTATCTTCTGCTGAACACTTTATTGTTCTTCAATGCTTCTGTGAGTGCTTTCATGATACCCACTTTGGTACTTTCGAAAAGAACAAAGATCTTGAGATCACGGCATTATTCCTGGAGGATCAGGTGCAGGCTTGGAAACATTTTCAAACTTGCCGTCCTTTTTTAGTTTTGCAATTGCTACAAGTTTTCTATAAATTATCTTAATTATCAGATAATCGTCACTTTAATTAAAGGAAATAATTGTTCTACAGGTACATCACCCACATTCTATTCACCGGCATAAAGATCAGTCCTGTTATCTTGTGAAGTTATCTGACCTCATCAATTTGCATAGCACTTCCATTCTTACGAGAGAAAGTGCCAAATATGAATTTCATTTAATTCTTCCACTAATTTGTTTATGATCCAAAGGAAAGGAAGAGGATTGCTTAATTTTTTTAGATTATGAACTGCGTCCAGAAAAAAAAATCAAATGATTTAATTCA